CAATTATAAAAGAGGTTTTTAAACTCCAGCTTGTAAAATATTCTTTGTAATTGAATTTTGAAAGAGCCCCTTGCCCCCCCCCCAAAAAAAATTGCATTTAATTGTTTTATGTCTAAATTTTCATAAGTAAATTTTAGTGGTCTGGTGAATTCCTTTATTATTTGCTGCAGGAGCTTGGAAAATAGGATGGAAACCTGCTAGAAAGCTGCATTGTGTCCTTAAAGTGGGGTTTAACACTGGTTTTCAAGACAGGAACTTATTGGGTGCCCTGAGTGATTTAATGGAAATGGACTTCGACAGTGATTTTAAAGACTGTGTATTTTGGGACTGAGAGGTGACTGATAAGTGTGTGTGATCTGCAGATACCACTTTCTTTTATCAATTGAAGACAAAAGGATAGTCAATTCAGAGGTGATCTGGTAGAGTTTTGTTGCACCCTCCCTCCCCACACATACTGGGCTTCTTACCTAGAGATGGCGGGCTAATTATGAACTCTGTTGTAATCAGTGATGTCCATCCCTTTGCTGCAGAAAGGTTTGCAAGTGTACTCCGTGGGGACAGGATAAACAGGGCATCGCACACGGTAACCCACTGCTTTTTGAGACTGTGTGTAGATACTGTTGTGACCAATTAAAGGCTGAGGAATTAAAAACCGCGGGCTGTGACAAAATGGACTGAACCACTCACTGTCTTCGCCTAGCCTCTCTGAGTGATCACTTCCCTTTAGTTCCGCCTTTGCTGCTGCCGTTCTGGGGACTCGAGGTGTTTAGCGTTTGCACGGTTATTTCCCCCCACCCCCACCCCCATCTTTTTACCTGTATCTTATTTATGTCTTTTTTTTTTTTAAATAGGTTTCCTATAGACTGCATGTTGGGTTTTGCATGTTTAGGTAATCTCAGTCTCTCAATGTCCTTCATAGGGTTTGTTGTGAATTTTCTGTTCTAGGTGTTTTCTGGGTGTTTTTTTTTTTGTATATTTTTATTCAATGATCATGGACTGAGTACGGATCCTGTCCTAGGCCTGACCATTGAGCTCACAAACTAGTTGGGAGAGACTGACCCTAAGTAAATGCAGCAACAGAGTGAGGTGGCTGCTAAGGGAGAAATGTAGACTAGAAACCTTAGGGCTACAAGGAGATGTGTAGAGAAAGAGGGCAGTCAGGATATTTTTGAGGGAAAGGTGGGCGAAGAAGAGTGTTAGAGGCAGAGGGCTCAGTGTGAACAAAGACGTGTGTGTCTGGTAGGCACCAGGGTTTAGGAAACTGCAAGTAATTCAGTGTGACTGGACTGCGGGGGACTGTGCCGGAGGGGATTAAGCCCTGCTAAGAAGGTTGGAATTTGTCCTAAAGGCCTCAGACAGCACCCGAGGGAGGCTTCCTAACTGAGCTCTGATGCTGATGGCGTAGATAGTAGGAGCCAAAGCTGTTTTTCCCCCATTGGAAGTCTGTCTCCCTCCCCTGACTTGCCCCCATCTCCTGCATCGAGTCCTATCGCAGGTACCAATTTTATTTTTCTCAGAATTCATGTAACTACTTAGACAAGAACTATGTTGGGGCGTTCCATTTTCAGGTCTTCTGGGTCTTTGCTGATTTTATTTATTTATTTTTCATTAAATCTTTATTTTTTTTGAGGGGAAGGAGGGGGCCGGGGAAGGCAGGGTGTGCTCTGGGGAGGGGAAGTGCGCTGACAATCTTTATTGTGTCCCCTTTTCCCCCCAACTGACCCCTTCTAGCCCACCCCCGCCTGCTGATTTTATGTGTACTTGTTCTACTGATGATTGAGAGAGGTGTGCTGAAGTCTCCAACTATAGTTTCGGATTTGTCTATTGCTCCATTCAGAGCTATCAGTTTTTGCTTCATGTATTTTGAAGCTGTGTTGTTGGAAGAGTTATATATTTAGAATTGACTTCTTGGTGAATTGACCTCTTTGTCATTACGTAATACCCCTCTTTATCCCTAGCAATATTTCTTATTCTGAAGTCTATTTTGTTTCATGTTCATATACCTACTCCACGTTTCTCTTAATTAGCATTTGCATGGTTATTTCCTCCCCACCCCCATCTTTTTACCTGTAACTTATTTATGTCTTTTTTTTTTTTTTTTAAATAGGTTTCCTATAGACTGCATGTTGGGTTTTGCATTTTTCGGTAATCTCTCCATGTCTGTCTTTTAATTGGTCTGTTTAGATCATTTACATTTCATGTTATTTTTTTATATGGTTGGATGAGAATCTGCTGCCTTGCTAGTTTTCTGTTTTCTATTAGTTCCTTATGTTCTATGTTTCTTTTTTCCTGCCTACTTTGGGACTGGGCACTTTTATGATCTGTTTTATCTCCACTGCTGGCTTATTATTTATACCTCTTTTTTTTAATTGGTTGTCCTAGTTTTACAATGTATATCTTTACTTACTCACAGTCTGCTTTAATTAAATTGCATCATTTCACAGATAAAACCCTAACAGTTTAACTCTCAATTCTTCCTCAGTTTCTGGACTGGCCCAACTCCTTATCTTTGTACTGTTGTTGTCATACATTTTGCTTTTACATGTGCTGTCAGTCCACAGTACCTTACTACTATTTTTGCTTATATTCTAAAGCAATTGAAAAAGAAACAACCAAAAAGTATTCTAAAATATTTACCTCGGGCCAATTTATTTCCCTA